CTAAAAGTTAACTAATACAATGGACGACGTGTTGCATGATTCATTTAAATACTCTCCTACAAATGCAATAACTGTCCAGACACATCACTGGTGTCACTAGTATATAAAGTACACGAACTATAAAAAGTAGCTGAATAACACAAAGACCGGCTAGTCCAGCTACATTAATGTTGAAAGGCCTAATAAAACTCATACAATTTAAAGAATAATAATGTAAAAAGAAGAAATTTTGGTGTTCGCTTGATTTCTATTTCAGTCACGTCTAGCTGGATAACCCCACACACACACACACACACACCGTCATTGGCCCAAAATCTCCTCACATATTGATTTTGTCAGCTTGAGTGACATTTTTCAGTCGGTTGGGACAGTTTTAGATGATTTTCCATATACCACTGCTTTTTGGTTTCCACACCAAGTCTCTCCAAACCTTGCGTCAGTGTTAAAAGGTTTGATCTACGTCTAAGTACAACCTGTACCTCAAATCACCGTCGAGGAAATTACTTTAAAAGGAACAGAGAAGCAAAGGGGAAACCATATCCATTTTACGACCACCCAAATGCATCCGTTACGATCAGTTGTTAACTTCAACAGTGCTAGGCATTTGTCTGTCATTGTACTTGTGATAAAGCTCAACCAAATCCTGTTCAGGTGAATGTTTGCTAGTACACAACACCGCAATCACTTTCTACTCTACTCAAATCAAACCCATATTTACCTCTGTATTAGATTGTCGTATCGAAGTTTGCCGTCAAATCATGATCCCTGCTGTCTGTGTTTTCCCTCAAGGCTTTCTCTTTCTTCTCTGTCGCGTTCACACCGAGACATTAATCCCTCATTTGTGTGGAAAAGCCTCGACAACCTGCTAATGAACCGTTAGTGCTTATCCTTTAACGAGATTACCACACTGCCCCACATGCGTTAGAGATGCAAAGGGAATTACCAGCAAAAAAAACATCTACTTATTTACTAGTTCTTATGTACTACAAATATTTTACCTTCAGTTAAGCACATCGGAACATATTTTCCTTCCTTGTTAAAAAGTGTGCTTGATTATAGTGAATGTGGACTGATTCAAATCTTATTTAAAGTATATTTTTAAAAACTGTACTTGCAGATAATATAATACTAATGAAATAAAAGGCTGTGTAACACTATTTCAATTGTCCACTTTAGACATTCTACTAACTATAAGTAACTTTGCAACTATTGTACAAATCAACTAACTCTATGTATGGAATAACTGATGATGGGCCGTTGCATTTTTCTAATAATTCAACGTCCCGGAGTCAATTACTTCATTTATATGAACAATGTGTTGAGGTGTGGTAACCAGTGTGTTATTTAAAGACAATTGTCAGGTTATTGTCCTTAAAACGCTTGTTTGTAGGAGTAATTTATTACGCATCTCATCCCAAGCCTCCATTGCTTATTCCAAAATGTCATTTTAGAGCTAGTAACGGAGACTTGACCCATTGATATGCCGACTAATCAAGTTATTAGAGAGATCGCTTGTACGTGTGTGAATGACTTGAGTCTGACTGTGTTCGGCAGCAGCGCCTTGACTAATAGCGAAACGTTTAAAACCTCGCTACTGAGAAATGTCATGCAGCTTTTCAGTCGTGAAACTACTTTACTGCTGTAGATCTTTTAAATAACTTTTACAATAATTTGGCAAAGTAATAAGGAACTAATTAACTCAAGACCTGCCTGGAACTACTTAAGCCATGCGTTTCCCTGAAAATAATCGCACACCTTAGAATAATCATCAACCAATCAGAATGAAGCATTCAGCGGCCCTGTAGTTTAATTAATTATACCTTTCACTAGTGTGTTATTCAATATTATATTTTAAATGTATTAAATTGCAACCTCATCATTACAAATGTGTAAACAAATATATTTAAATGCATTGCATTAAAAGTTTAAATAAAAATGATAGTAAGGTATATTTTAGTTTACCATAAATGCGTGTCAGTAAATTCAGTAGAAAACTTTAACCATATTTCATAAGACAATAAGTACTATAGTATTTATAAAATTATATTAGTGCTGTCAAACGATTAAAATATTTAATCGCGATTAATTGCATTAATGTCATAGTTAACTCGCGATTAATCGCACATTTTTATCTATTCTAAATGTCTCTTGATTTCTTTGTCCCATTATTTTTTCTCATTTTAATGCTCTTATCAACATGGAAAAGTGGATCGGCTTGCTTTGTGCAAATGTTTTTTATTGAAAACAACATTGGCATATACTGTGTTCAATTTCACACTAACATTCTCACTTGGAGCAAATAATCTCTCACACAATGTAACACTGTCCATCAATAAAAGGGTGAAAGAAATACTGACGAGGTCCTGATATTGACGAGGGGGCGGAGAATTCGCATCAGCTGTGTGTGTGTGTGTGTGTGTGTGTGTGTGTGTGTGTGTGTGTGTGTGTGTGTGTGTGTGTGTGTGTGTGTGTGTGTGTGTGTGTGTGTGTGCTTGGCCATCATCAATTGGTATTTCTGACTGGACGTGCTGCGATGATGATAGCTCAGTTCACAACGACAAAACACACAGATCACTTTGGTCTCGTCATTGGAACCATTTGGCAACTTTTTAAAAGAAAACTTTCCATTCAGAATCTTATTGGCATCCATTTCGGCGTCTCGCGCTCGTCATCCACTCAAAACGTAACGTTAACCTACTATTTGGCCGGCTCGCAGACCCAAACAAGTGTGTGCGTCGTGCCTGTTGTTTTGTTTCCGCTCTAGTAGATCCGCTTGCGCTTTGGTCGACGAAGCAACAAAACGTCCTCGCGCGGCGCAAGCCATTGAAATGAATGGGTTTCATAGCGCAGCGCCGCGTCCTGTTGCAAAAGCATGTGAATAAAACTACAAAGTTTGCTAGGCCAAAAAGACAGTTAATCCTGCAATAAAAAAATTGACGCCGTTAAAATGGGTTTGCGTTAACGCCGTTAATAACGCGTTTAACTGACAGCCCTAAATTATATATAACAATGTACTTAAGTGTGTCAAAAACTCTTCAAAATTCAGCTAACTGCATTTAATATGAATTAAACAATGATACATTTGAACATGCAATTAAGTGTCTGAACACACAAGGGCTGTTATCGTTAATTTGTCACAAATTTGCAGATGTCAGCCCTTTAAGTGTTTATTACACTCTGGCCTCTTAACCGGTTCTGTGCACGCACACACACAGACACACACGCAAGCACACACACACCAAATTTTTGAGAGTTCTAAATGTGAGTCACTCCCAAAATTGCTATGATGTAAAATATCAAATTAAACATTTTGGTATCTTGCAGCTGGAAAATACAAACACTAATGCTAACAGTTCAGCTTGTTTGGTGTCTGTGCTTTTTGTCTAAAGTTATCTCAGTGATTTGGGACGTATTCTGTCAGACAATTTAAAGTAAACCACTGTTGACAGAGGTGCTGCGTTTTGTTCATGCTTTTTACAAGCAGCGGCTTTTACAGAGCATGCTCTCTTTCAATGTTGCCATGTCTGACTTTTATAAGCATAGTTTTTTATAGTCTGACTTTTATAAGCATAGTTTTTTATAAAGACGCTTATTTATGAGCAGTTATGTTGTTTTATGCTTTTTTAAAGAATACAGTCCCGTATTAGGTCTTATTCTGGTGAGGCAAGTCTCTTGTTTTGGCCTTTATTTTTCTAGGGAGATCTGGCAACATTTCTGTCATCCTTTGGCTGTGCTACAGTATAAGATCATGCTATCATTCATTCAAGTCTTAAATTAGATAAAAAGTGTTAAATGAACAAAGAGTTTATCTGATCTTAAAGTGACAGCAACCTAATAAACCTGCTGTCTGTCATTAATGTTAATCAAAGAACAAAAGACAGAGAAAATCACTCACTGCTCTTGACTGAATAATTTTTGTAGCTTTAATAAGGATTCATCTATTTCCAAATCATAATTAATGCAGAAAATACTGTGCAGTGTAAAGCACTGTTTACAAGGTTACATGGGTCAAAAACAATGAAAACAATAACTTTAGTGCACTTTGGCAGGGCAGGGAAATACCTGAGCCGGCTCGTCTGGGCAAGCAGAAAAAACCTTAGTGTTGAACCCTGTTATATTAAAGGCACCGCTAAATATGACATTTATTACAATGGGTTTATGTGAATATATTGGTTTAAGTTAACAAATTAAAAGTTGTTATCTTTTTTAAAGCCTATTAAAATTGATAGCTTTCAATGATACTATAATGCTGAATGGCTATAATGGTTCAATTTGAGGGGGGAAATCCATTTAATAGAGACGACATTAAACAAATATTTAGAATACATTTATGTTTTTCTATATTGTTTTTATACTATTTTGGAAATTCAATGTGAAAGTATTACAATATAAAAAATATATGAAAAACTTTAATGTTAGGTGCAATTAAATACAAAAATGTGAAATTATTTAAATTTTTCGATTGACATGCATGCATTTTTATATATATATATATATAGGGTCGATTTGAAATTATGATTTTATGCCAACTTAATTATGTGAAAGTGTGTATGACATTCACAGGTCATTGTATGGTTTCTTTCCCACAGAAGAAACAACATCTTTGGTCCTGGAGGCGCTTCCTTTCAAAAGCTTTTGTGAATTGTTTACGCTTGTCAACTGTTTCATTAGTGAGTGATGAGACGATTTAAAGTGTCAAATTTACACTGAGACAGTGTAATTCAGAGGTGAGTGTCTATCAGGGAACAAATCAGATCCTATAGAAACACTAGACTGGAAATCATTTCTATGTGAGCACAGCAAAGCACTGTTACTCATTTAATGTGCAAAGACGACGTTTACGTAAAGGCCATAAGGGCACAGCAGCAAAAAAAAGAGAAGATGGATAATTCATATTAAAATACTGACTAATATTAAAAGTGGACCTTTGCACAAATGGCGAGTGGAGGTTTTCTATGTCTCATCTGCATGCAAATACAGTTTTGTTTTATGTTAAATACCTTAACAGAGGATCCAGATGAGAGACTTGAGCTGGTAACTTTGAACGGTGTCGCTCTTAAACCAAGAGTCAGCTCTGAGAGAACAAGGGAAAACAGCAAAATGAGAACAGTGTTCAAAGATTTAGATGAGACTGAGCTTCTTAAGAATGTCTAATGATGGTGTACGGTTTAAAAACATCATGCCACCCCAAGAAATATTTACACGGCACTGTTTAGATGTTAAATAGAGCTTCGGTCAGAGTGGATGGAGCCTTTAGTCTGTTATGTAAGCTGCCACAATGGCACCACATAGGGCTCATAAATTAGCATTGCCACATTACTGCTAATGTAAACACTCCTCAGCGCCCTCTGCGTTCTCTGGCTATGCTCGGCATGGGATATAAGGACACTGCTTACTGCCTAACAGTGAAAATCCTGACACTTATTTTATTTCAGCTAGTTTCAAAAGGAAAAAATAATCTCTCAAAATTACAAAGACTTTAACAAAAATTCAAATGAAAACGAAAAATATAAAAACAAAAAGCTAAATTCAACTATTGGTAAAAATAATGGTAATGTCCAATCATCATCTTAGGAAAGAAAATTGTATTTGAATTTGTATTTAATTTTGTGTGATATGGTCTTGCCAGTCAGATCAAAAAATATTATGCCAAGAAAGGGATGTTAAAAGAATTGTGGTTGATATCACATGAAATTGAGTGTCGCGTTAGTCGCATTGCTTTGTGGGATGCAGTCTCACTCCATGTGTTCTGGTTGCACACTGCACATTTTGACAAACATAGTAGGTGACCTGGGTATTTCATGCATACTAAATTCCAGAGTTCCCCGACTTTTTGACCAATGAATTTCCATTGACTTTTCAAAATGGTTTATGATTAACGCCTAAGCATTTTTAAAAGCATTTCCATTTGCTTGTCTCAAACTATTGCATGGAATTAAAATCAGCATATTAGAATGATTTTTGAAGGATCATGTGACACTGAAGACTGGAGTAATGCAAATAAATGCAGCTTTGGTGAGAACAAGAGACTAGTTATTTCTTTCTAAAACATTTTTTAAACAATGGTATCAAACCCAAACTTTTGAATGTGTGTTTGTACAATACGCATGTTCAAAAGTCTCCATCTAATAAAGTAAACGGTGTTGTTTTTTTCATCAGAACTTGATACTGTTCATTGAAACCGTCATGTTTTATCCCAAGAGATCTGGTTTTCGTCAATCAATTCCCAATAAAAACCTCTTTGGCCAAAAACACACTGCTGATGAAATCAAAGAGTGGACATTGTTCTTAAATAAAGCTGTCTGCTCGGTTTACGGTGTCTTCCATCAGTTGGCGAAAGATTACACAAAATGTCAGTTTCCTTATGTGGTTCAGTGAGATGATGGTAAACACTCTTTTACTGCAGGTCTATAGCGTTAAATATCCTGAGGCTTTCAAGTACATTTTCACTGCCTGAGAGACCTTTCAGAGGCAAGGATGAGCAAAGCACTTCCAAAAAAGGAAGATCTGACAGAGCTGTGGCACTATGACAAATAAGGTCTGTTGATGATACCGAGAAGAGACAGACAGAGAGAGATATGATAAAATGAGAAGAAAAGTGATTGTGTTTATGCACCAGGCAGGCGAAAGAGGGTGAACTGCAATGTGAATTATGATTATATGACAGGGGTCCTTAGGCACACATGCCAGTAAACTAACATATAACGGTTATTTTATATCATTGTAATGGTTTTTATGGCATGGCTATGTATGGTATACACGCACACACACACGTAACAGTACAAGATATAGCTGGATATAACTAAAAATAGTTGAAAATCCAGCAAGCGTACGAAATAACCATGTGGTAATGTCAACTTTTGGATAATCCAGTGAATTAGATGCTTTACAAATTAATGAATGTACTTAATCTCTTTAGATTATTTTTTAGTTTATGCAAATTTGCTAAATAATTTGTTAGAAATATCATTTTAAAGTCTGAAAACAGCTTCACATTATGCAATTCAAGTTAAAAACTAAAAAAACAGTGAAATTAATGTTGCACACATGACCCACTTTCAGTGCATAAAGAGATCCGCTTCAATCCATGTGAAAATAAAGACAAATGTGCAATTCATGGTAACACTTTACAATAAGGTATCATTTATAAACTACATTAGTGAATATGAACACCGAATAAACCTTCGACAGCATTCATTAATCTTAGTTCATGTTAAGCTCAACACATTCATAAGGTCAAACGGTGTACTGTTGTTAACATTAATACATTATTATTAACTAACATTAGCAAAGGTTAATCAATGCTGTACAAATTTATTGTTAATTCGCTCGGTTTCCATCCAAAGTTGTAACTTTAACTTGCGAATAAAGAACCGCTGCAGAAGGAGAAGAACGGTCTTTTTTAAAATATAATAAATTACAAATATTGTAAAATAAACCCGGTCATGTTATCTTGCTTTTAGAGGCGTTGCTGTTTGGGAACGCAGTCGTGTAAGATCAAAACAACACTTCAGATGCTGTGCACCAAGATCGGTCACGCTGGTTAGTACATTCGCGCAAAGTCACATGACTTTTTTTATGTTTCCATCATAGTTTATGCTCATGTATTCTTATCGGAAAAAGTTACTGTATGGCTTTATAGTCGCTAGTCACCATTCATTTTCATTCATAAAGTAATAAATAGTAGTGCTGTCAAACGATTAAAATAGTTAATCGCGATTAATCGCATTAGTGTCATAGTTAACTCGCGATTAATCGCACATTTTTATCTATTCTAAATGTCTCTTGATTTCTTTTTGTCCCATTATTTTTTCTCATTTTAATGCTCTTATCAACATGGAAAAGTGGATCGGCTTGCTTTGCGCAAATGTTTTTTATTGAAAACAACATTGGCATATACTGTGTTCAATTTCACACTAACATTCTCACTTGGAGCAAATAATCTCTCACACAATGTAACAGTCCATCAATAAAAGGGTGAAAGAAATACTGACGAGGTCCTGATATTGACGAGGGGGCGGAGGATTCGCATCAGCTGTGTGTGTGTGTGTGTGTGTGTGTGTGTGTGTGTGCTTGGCCATCATCAATTGGTATTTCTGACTGGACGTGCTGCGATGATGATAGCTCAGTTCACAACGACAAAACACACAGATCACTTTGGTCTCGTCAATGGGACCATTTGGCAACTTTTTAAAAGTAAACTTTCCATTCAGAATCTTATTGGCATCCATTTCGGCGTCTCGCGCTCGTCATCCACTCAAAACGTAACGTTAACCTACTATTTGGCCGGCTCGCAGACCCAAACAAGTGTGTGCGTCGTGCCTGTTGTTTTGTTTCCGGTCTAGCTAGATCCGCTTGCGCTTTGGTCGACGAAGCAACAAAACGTCCTCGCGCGGCGCAAGCCATTGAAATGAATGGGTTTCATAGCGCAGCGCCGCGTCCTGTTGCAAAAGCATGTGAATAAAACAACAAAGTTTGCTAGGCCAAAAAAAACGTTAATCGCGCGATAAAAAAATTGACGCCGTTAAAATGGGTTTGCGTTAACGCCGTTAATAACGCGTTTAACTGACAGCCCTAATAAATAGTAACCAAAAGTGTAACCAAACGCTATGTTCCTCAGGTAAGAGAAAAACAAGGGTTTCAAATGATATGAGGGTGCATACTGTGTATATGATGACGAGAGAATTTAAATTTTTTGGGGAACTATCCCTTTAACTACATTCATAAGTACACTAAAGTGACATCCAAGTGAAATGAGTGAAATTCACTCCCACAAAATAGATCCTCTTAAAGTTTATATGCAAAGCCACTAAATACGCTTACTCATACATCACTTGAATCATGGAGGAGGAATGTATCAAACTATTTCATTTTAGGGTGAAATTTCCAACATGGCTGCCAAACTGAGAATATGCACAGCTTGCACTCCAGTTCGTTCCATCAGCCCACTCGCCATTCCTCATAAAAACATCTGTGAAATGCATAGCACTGGTGCTTTCCAAATAACCTGGATCGTCGTTTAGCCATTGCTAGCTTTCCATTTTCCAGTTGTCTAGGCCTGTGATCTAGGCCAAAATCCATAATTCATAAGGAATTATTTTAGAATCATCATTTGAAACCAATCCTAATGTACCATAATATAAATACAACACAGAAAGCTAGATCTTTCGCAGCAAATACAGCAGTTCTCAACAGGATCATTATGATTAGCAATACGAATAAATGTCCCATAGGAATTTAAAGGGAGAAAAAATTATTTATTTTAACTCTCTATTAGCAATATGCTAATCGACACATCACAATAGATTAAACATTAACCAATAAGGTTCAAAAACTATAGGAAAAATAGGACCTTAATTTTTTAGGACTAGCTCTGTTTTGAGTATTTGACATATTTTTTTGTATGTCTGGACTAAGATGATCAACCAATCTGTTTTAGTAGGCACAGCAGTTTGAAAACACTGATCTGAAGATGTCAAGGTATAGTTTTCGCTTGATAGTCTAAATGATTATAAAGGGAGACTCTTCTCTTGCTTTTTCTGTATATTACCCATTCACAATCTGAATGCAAGTTTAGTTTTTCATCCTACTCAGTACACTGCAAAGTTTCTGGATTGACAACTGTATTTAAATGCACGATTGAATTGGAAACTGTGATGATTGACAATGATAACCAATGAACGAGACAAAATGGAGCATTTTCTAAAAAGTACTTAATTCAAAAGTTTTTCGCTTTGGTTCCAAAACTGGTACAGAGAACTGTGAAATGTTACTGGTATTGGTAGTGACTACTAAAATTTTGTTACTGTGACAACCCTGTAAGATTCATTATGAGATATAAACTTCACTATTGTGTATTGCAATATTTGGCACTGCTGATTTCAGAACCTCACTCGTATTTAATTAAAAAATAACAAGTCACTGCTACAAGAGAAGTTAGAGTTAAAGGGATAGTTCACTTTGAAATTAATTTTTGGTATGTTTTAGCTTACCTCAAGGGCATCCAAGATGTAGGTGTCTTTGTTTCCGCAGAAGTTTCAATTTTGATATTTTTAGGTCAAACCGTTCTTGTCTGTCAGTCATATAATGCAGGTCTATGGTCACCACCTCAAAGAGCATGCACAGAGAAGTCCAAATTAAACATGATTTAATGACTCGTAAATGTAAGTACACATTGATGGCCTAAGACACGAAACGAGCGGTTTGTGTGAGAAAACGAACAGTATTTATATCGTTTTTACCTCTTGTAAACACAGCCACGTCCAAGTGATCTGAGGGCGCCGGCGCTTCGGTCTGCACAAGCGCTGGAAGTGATCTCTCGCGCGTGTACGTCACTCATTGTTTACACAAAACAGAGATTGTAGGTAAGACGACTAATTAAAATGGTACTAATTTGCGCTTATCCGGGATGTTTAAACCGTCGTAAAAGAAAACAATAAAAAATAAATAAAAAATAAAACAATTGTATGAGTGACGTACACGCGCGAGAGATCACTTGGACGTGGCTGTGTTTACAAGAGGTAAAAACTATATAAATACTGTTCGTTTTCTCACACAAACCGCTCGTTTCGTGTCTTAGGCCATCAATGTGTACTTACATTTACGAGTCATTAAATCATGTTTAATTTGGACTTCTCTGTGCATGCTCTTTGAGGTGGTGACCATAGACCTGCATTATATGACTGACAGACAAGAACGGTTTGACCTAAAAATATCACAATTGAAACTACTGCGGAAACAAAGACACCTACATCTTGGATGCCCTTGAGGTAAGCTAAAACATACCAAAAATTAATTTCAAAGTGAACTATCCCTTTAAGCCACCTAAACATGAATTTAAGGGGACAAAACATGCTGGGTCTAAATATTTTGTAAGATGTGCCATTTCAATGAGAGAATGTATATGATTGAATATGATAGTACACAGTTAAAAAATTCAATTAAAGTATATATTTATGTATATACTTTACCATTGAAAAGTTTGTATGTAAGATTTTTCAATGTTTTGAAAAGAAGTCTTTTATGCTCACCAAGGCTGCATTTATTTGATCAAAAATACAGTACAAACAGTAATATTGTGAAATATTTTTACAATTTAAAAGAACTGTTTTCTAATTGAATGTAATTTATTCCTGTGATCAAAGCTGAATTTTCAGCATCATTACTCCAGTCTTCAGTGTCACATGATCCTTCAGAAATTCACTCTAATATGATGATTTGCTGCCCAAGAAACATTTCTGATTATTATTATCAATGTTGAAAACAGTTGTGCTGCTTCATATTTTTGTGGAAACCGTTACTTGATTTTTTAGAATTCTTTGATTAATATAAAGTTCAAAAGAACAGCTTTATTTTAAATTTAATGCATCCTTGCTTAAAACAAATTCTTCAAATATCATTAAAAAAAAATTTTTTTGAACAATGGTGTATATTTTTAAATTATATGTACTTTTATAAATTTACCCATCGGGTTGGGAATCGAAAATTGATTCCAATTCTGTAATCGGATACAAAAGATCAGGAATTGTATACTTATAAAATTAAGATTTAAATTCCGCTTATCGATTCCTGTGTGAACATTTTAATGTGGTTTTAAACCTTTCAAGGGCAAGAAGATACGAAAGAGAACTCAATTGAGAACTCACACTGTTTTCTGTGCTCGGCACATCCAGCGTGCACACAGAAAGCAGCTTCTCATGCGCCCAAAAACACTGAACTGAGTTTTCTGTCGGTTATCTGAACGTAAACAGTTGAGAAAAAACTATACAGTGTTATTTACATTTGATTTAAATTTCTGAACTTAGTTCAGTTGCTATTGATGCTAATTTGCTTATTTGTTCTTATTGTATTACTGACGGTATACTTGTCTTTAATAATGTTTGAAATTGATATTAGTAAGTCTAGTTTAGAAGTTAGTTATTCTTTAGCTGCTTATTTTATTTTCATGGTATTCAGCTGCAACAGAATGTTTAGCAAAAAGACAGAATGAATAAGTTTGATATCTAAATGTACCCATTTGGCAAGATGTTATTTTTGTTTTATTTTTACCAAAATGCAGTGGTGGAGGAAGTACTGAATCTCAGGACTTAAGTAAAAGTACAAATAACCAGAGACATATTTACTTTAGTGAAAGTAGAAGTACCACAATGACAACCCTACTTAAGTAAAAAGTAAAAAGTACCTGATTTTAAATGTACTTTAAGTATTAAAAGTAAAAGTACTTGCATAACAATTTATTCTCTTAATGTCTATATTCTAATGATTAATAAAACAGTTAATCCTAACTCATTCAACCTAATAATCCTATAATGATGTTCAATAATGATGGAAAAGCCGTTATTTGTCGCCAATTCTGAACAAGCTTGCAATTAGGCAATATACACATCAAGCTTAATGTGACGGGGTTTGGCTGTAAACGCGATTCATTTATGGCGTAATTCTGAACCTCTTGGCTTGCCATACTAATCCTAACCAAACGTAGAATACACACGCACCCCACACCACTACTAAACCTACCCATGCGTATCCTATGCACGTAAAAACAAATTTCCGCGTATAAATTGCACGATAAACACACTGCGTGCTATAGAGACGCATTTAGTGCGACCGGGTTGATATATCTATGGCAACCAAACTTCACTGGTGAGACAAACGTGCGACGAACGGACGGTCAGGATGACGTTTTGGCAGGGAAAAACTGATCAGAAAATGTAACGAAAATGTAACAAAACGTTGTAGAAATGTAGTAGAGTAGAAAGTATAATAATTGCTGCAAAATGTAACGAAGTAAAAGTAATAAGTATGCACTTTTGATTCTACTTAAGTAAAGTAAAGATATGTGAAAAATGTACTTGAGTAAAGTAACAAAGTATTTGTACTTCGTTACATTCCACCACTGCCAAAATGAGATATATTCAAATCAATGTATACATTTTTTTTTTTTTTTGTTTATTCAAACCCGTCAATTCACCCACTATTGTTTTGGACCCATAGCATGGGTTCAGTTGCATTCGTTGCATCCCTCATTGCATTTCGTTCAGTTGTTCAGAGAGTGTCATCATTTGCTTACCTGTTTTCTTTGGAGCAGCAGATGTGTTGATTCGAGGAGTCATGTTTCCAGCTGTAGAGGATGATGACAATGAATGTGAAGTTGGGTTTCGTCCATCTTTGATCTCAATGCTGAGGAAGGTCTTCATGTTGGACTCGGGTTCACCCCAGGTATCGTGGGTCCCTAAAGACGCTTCTCCCTCAGGAGTCTGCACTTCTTCTGAACCGCTACACGCACGCCTGACATCTTTAGTGCGACCCTGTGAGCCGCCCACTGTGGCGTGTGATTGGTTGGAGGACAGCTTGGGCTGGGCTAGCATGTTCTCAGTGGCATTCCTCCCTTTCTCCTGGATGGAGGAAGAGCAGGACAGCGTGTCCCGGGATCTCTCTGCAGACACTGTGTTTGTAGAGTGAGAAGAACTGTGGCCACTTCTAGGTATATTCGTAACAGGTTCTGCGAACTTGCGCATCCGGTCACGAACAGAGTTTGCACGAATGAAGGGACCCAAGTATGAGGCTTTGTTTTTAAAATCTGGAAAGAAAGAACAAAAATTAGGTCCAACAACTATGTACTAAAATTTATAAATTGATAAAATGCACTTATTGTGTACATGCATGTTTTTACATTGTACTTTTGTATTTAGAAAATACCTGCATGTAGTTCATTTCTGTTGACTGTTCCCTTACCCCTTAACCAACCCATACCACCATATATGTCCCTAACCGTACCCGTATCCCACCTCAATAGCAGTGCAAGTGTTTTGCAATACAACAGCAACATAATAAGTACACTGAAACTAAGAATTCATTGTTTGGTCACACCTTAGATTAGGGTCCAATTCTCACTATAACTGCTTATTATGAGCTAGTAAGGTAGCTGATAAATGTAGGTATTGGGTAGGATTAAGGGATGTAAATTATGGTCATGCAGAATCACATATCTAAATTAAAGATTTTTAAAATCTGAAAAGAATATGTTTTAAAAAAAATGCAAGACGCTTTGACAGCAAGAGCTACAACATTTGTAGATAGCAGATCTCAGATCATTTGAATTTGATGAGAAATGTTAATTATTAAATCTTTGACGCTTGATTGTAGACTTTGGCATCTTGGCAAATATGATCAGACCCCCTTGAGATTGAAACTCTAGAGGAGTCACATGTGACAATACGTTTTTCTCCCCTGGTAGAAGCAAGGAAGTGAGACAATAAAAGGGCTAGTTCAACTAACAATGTAAATTCTGTCATCAAATACTCAAGCCTTTCGTTCTTCTTCGAAACAAAATGAAGATATTTTTAATGTAAACATGCAACTAAAACTTGACGTTTCAAAAAGTTCATCAAGAAATGTGTGTATATATATATATATATATATATATATATATATATATATATATATATATATATATTGAGCGGTTTAATTGAAGTCTTCAGAAGAGACATAATCGCTTAATATGATGAACAGATTTAATTTAGGCTTTTTGTCATATAAACACTGATTAACGCGCTCAAATATGCATAACAGTACTTGACAGAATTTTCATTTTAGGTTAACCATCCCTTTAATCAGAAGTCTTCACTTGTCATCCATTTAATTTCATTGTGCCAAGAAAAAACAATTGTGATTCTAAGGTTATTAATTCCATCTCATTTGGGATTTTTCATCCCTACGGGTCATGCAGGATGTTTTGGTTTCTTCAGAAGGGGGGAGGAGACAGGAAAGTCTGATGAAAGCATTACACCGGACCGGGCCCCTAAGACTGTGAATGTGGTAATGGCCCTATTAGGTCATAAGGAAGAGTAAAGATCTTGGGATACGGGCCACGGACTGTGAGAGGATGACATCTCAATACTTTAAACAAAAGCAGAAGGACATCAACTTGCTGCTGGGCAACTATACTGCCAGGTATGCAGTTGGATTTGAATAGAGTAACATAAGTAAGTAATTATGAACTTATTTTAAGACACAGGCTAAATCTATAACTAGGTAACCTTTAGCTGTAGTGTATTTTTATGAGGGCATGCAGAACTGCTCACCTGTATCCTTCCCGTTAGAAAGAGAAGTCAAGAGATCGTCTCTACCTGATGTAACCTGAAGGAAAATTCATTTAAAATCAACTTTTCGTAGCGTAACATGAAACATGGCACAATATATATATATATAAAAAGAAAATAAGCAGTAAAAACAGTTTTCAACATTGATTAAAATTCAGAAATGTATCAAGCAGCAAATGTGATGCTGAAAACTGGAGTAATGATGCTGAAAATTCAGCTTTGCATCACAGGAATAAATTACATTTTACTATACGTTCAAAAAGAAAACAGTCATTTAAAATAGTAATAATGTTTCACAATATTACTGTTTTGCTGTATTTTTAATCAAATAAATGCAGCCTTGAGCAAAAGAGACTTACTTTTTTACCGTCCCAAATTTTTGAACAGTAGTGTATTTATACTATATTATAATATTTGTAACAGTATGTTGTAGCACATTGCTACAGTATAAGGCTGCTAAAGTGGTTATAAGCATATTACTCCGTAGAATCTATAATCTGGGTCCGTATTCATAAAGAGTCGCTATTAGTGACAAAATTCTAAGAAAATTCTTAGAAATGTGGGCGTTTACTCTTAAAATTAAAGAAAAAATTATAGTAATGAAAAAAGTAATTCAGAAAGAATTCAGAAAGAAAAAAGTAATTCAGAAAGCATCTTAACCCTTAAAAGAGGTCTTAAGGTCAAAATTTTTAGGAGTACGGATGAGGACTTTTAAGAGGCTTAAGAGTTTCTTTAGCAGAGGAGAAAATGGCAGAAAGACGAAGAGGGAGAAGAAATGTGTTGCACACAATAGATGACAGTGAGTTAATAAGACGCTATAGATCGACACCCGGCCCAAATGTTCCTTTAAGGATGGCCTTGTGTACGTCCATTAACTGGGCTCACAGTAAACACTGTTCCTCTGTCCAGTCGGGCTTTCTCGTCCTTCTTGGGTTTGATTCCATGTTTGTTACATTAAAACCAACATTCAAACCACCACTTAAATAGACATGCCAGCAATCAGTGAAAGAGTGGAACCATTTTTATCATTCTAAGCCAATCAAATACCTTATACAGGAAATTAACAGCATGGTAAATAAAAAAAAGGATTTATATACACATATATAATGTGTGAGAACGGTCAAATAGGAAAAATTACGCATGTAATTTCAAAGTGAAGGCTTAGAATAGACCGTATACTTAAAATCACTCTTTTTTTTTTTTCTTCTTGGACAACCAACCAATCACAGTCTTCAAAAGATTGTGTCACACATAGCAACGGGGTCAGCCCCGCCTCCTCATTAAGATGAAAGTTTGTCTTTTCTAGGGCTGTCAAATGATTAATCACGATTAATCACATCCAAAATAAAAGTTTTTTTACATAATATATGTGGGTGCACTGTGTATAATTATTTTGTATATATATATATATATATAAATACAAACACATGCATGTATATTTAAGAAAAAAAATATTATTTATATATAACATTTATATTTATATATAATATAAATTATATATAAATCTATATACAGTATATACATAAAAATATTTCTTAAATATATACAAGCATGTGTGTGTATTTATATATATAAAATAATTATACACAGTGCACCCACATATATTATGTAAAAAAACTTTTATTTTGGATGTGATTAATCACGATTAATCATTTGACAGCCCTAGTCTTTTCCTTACTCAGAGTTGCTCTCAGATCGGTCCCGAATCGCTCTTAAGCTAAGACTCCTACGTAAAAGGTTTTAAGCTAAATTAAGAGTTTTCTGAGAGGATTCTTTATGAATACGGGCCCTGGTCTCTAGATATGGCTCATATCAATGCAAGTATGAGAGATTTTTTTGATTGTTTTATTATCAGCCAGGCCAGAATTGTAATAGCACAACACACTCTTTAAAAAGCAACAGAATATGAGGTATTGTGTCTGTTGCACATGAATGCTAAAAATCCAGTAACCCTAAAAGTGAGCAATAGTAATAGTGATGGTTAGTGATTCTCAATCACATCTGAATGTGATGACACTGTTATGAGGAAGGTCTGAGCAAGTGGTGGATGGATTACACTAACTGGACTATACTGTAAAAAATGATTCTTCAAACTTAAGTTATAAATGAAACCAATTACTGGGGTTTGTTTTATAGGAAAACACTATTTCAGTTTTTCTACTTCAAAATGTCATGTTTAATCTAATGGGTTACTTGCCATTTATTTGTACTTTTTGTAAAAACGTAAAACGGCTAAACCAATTTTCGGTTACACTTCATTTTAATGTGTCCACGTTACAGTGTAATGAATCATTTAAAGTCCCCCTGTGGTGAAAATCAAGCTTTTGATGTTGTTTATATGTCTATGTGTGTGTTTTAATATGCTTTAAGACAAACCATGTGTAGATTCATAAGTGGACAGCATTGCTGAGTATTTTCTCCTTAAAACTGCAGTGAACCAAAGACAGTCTCAAAAACACGAAATCGCTGGTGTTTCTGACGTCACAAACGACCTTGTAACCAATCAGATCAACGTGTGATCGTCAACCAGTGGATCTCTGAGCTGAGTGAGTGAGTGAGTGGAGGCGGGGCTCATTTGCATATTCATAGAACCGCATATACGAAATGAGGCAAGGGTGTCGAGTTACATTCAAGCTATTTTAAGGCATGACTTTTTTTTTAAGGAAAAAAAAACATTTAAATATATCATTTTGGTGATCAAAGATGAGTTTTAAGGGATGCAATTATTGACTACAGGGGGACTATAAATACCGCGTAATAATAATTAACTACATGTACTTACTATAGGGTTAGGATTTGGTTCAGGGTTAGTTGCATGTAATTATGCATCATTTATAGTTATTATTACTAATAATAATATAACATGTGTAACAAGGACACTAAAATAAAGTGTTACCCAATGATTTTTTCAACGTACAGAAGATAAAACAGAACAATCTCAAACAGAGACAAATAGTACCTCCTGGTGGAACTAACAGGGCAAGGGTTCCCATCAGACACCTTTCACTTCCACTCACCTTCTGTGCAGCGACTTCTTCAGGTCTTTTACTGCTCATGTTCAGAGGGAATTCTTGTGAACTTGTTGTGCTCTGAAAGCGGGTCGTCTCCACGCCATTGTCAAGTTTCTTCAGCTCTCGATTCATCTGAGGAGCCTCTGAATTCACGCCAGACAAAGATGCACTCGCTCTCACTTCCTCCCCATCGGGTCCTGGCCGTGATCTTTGGCTCCTCAGATGATCTTCAGCAGAAGACAGGGATTCATGACTGCGATCCGAAGCGCTGGAATTCAGTCTCGTTCTCTGATGAGAGCTGTGGCTGTCACTCGACTCTCCGGAGTCGCAACGCTCCCGGTATGAAGGAATGACTTCTGATGAGGGCGAGCCATGTTCACATTGAATCCGTTGGGTCAGAGGGCAAGAGACTTTCTCTCTGACCAAAGGATCTAGTACTAAAACCATGTCGGGGTTCGAGCCTACAGCAGAAGAGACAGATGCATAACTTTAAGTACACTATTACAGGATCTTTCAGGTTAGAATAAGGGTGTTTTCACAATTGAGTCTTCTTTAAAATACCTCAGAGCAGTTTAAGTGGACTAAAAAGAGAAAGTCATGTACACTTTGTAAACACTGGGTCGGTATTTACGCCTATGTCACGCTTGACCTTTCAACGTGATTATAATGCGTGAAGTCGTGGACGTACATCGCAGAGCTAGTGCAAGATGAGTATTTTTGGTTAAAATAACAAGGGGGCCTCAGCGAGCTCTGTGGGGGGGGGTCGCGTCATATTTTGACAGGTTTGAGCAATGAGCATTAAATAAAAGTCCTTAACTTTTTTTCTGTTCAAAATTTACATAATGTATATAATGAGCGAGTTCATCATGAATCCATTTTCCAATCCGTGGTTTTGTCTTATCCTGAACCACTATGGTACACCTATAATAAGTGTTTACATTGGGACTATTTTACACTGGTTCGGATCGCTGCGCTGCGGAGTAGCCCAGTGCCTGCGTGACTCGTCATAGACGTACACAGAGAGAAGTAGTTCCGGCTACAATGTTCTTCCGAAAGACGGATTATTCTGTTAATAAACGCAAGTTTATTATCGCTCACTATAGCGCCAAAAGCGTAAAAAATAAACCCTCACATTGATAAACCTCACAAATAATTGTAGCCGAAACTTTGGAATCTGTTACCAGTTCACATTAGATTGGCTCAGACTATTTCCAGTTTTAAATCATTAGTGAAAACCCACCTATTAACTCAGGCGTTTAATTCCTCTGGGCGTTGAGGCTAAATCCTCTGTTGTTGTCCTATGTTGTATATGTATGTGTGATGTCTATGTATTTTACTTTTTATTTTTTATTTGTTATTGCTGGAAAGCATATTGGTGCAACTGTAGTTGCAATAAATTGTGCTATATAAATACAATAAATAAAGAAATAAAGAAAGAAATAAAGAAAGAAAGAAAGAAAGAAAGAAAGAAAGAAAGAAAGAAAGAAAGAAAGAAAGAAAGAAAGAAAGAAAGAAAGAAAGAAAGAACATGCAAGTATTGAGGCCCCAGACAACAGTCATTTAGTAATAGCCTATATTCTTTCTTTTTTTTTACCTACACACCACAGTGAATATATTTGTTTTTGCATTTCAAATAGGGCCGATATATAGGCTTCTCCTAGGCTTACGTTTTTAAATTACAAAGGGCCTACTGATGTTTTTGTTTTTGTATTTTCAATATTATAGGCTATTATTTGTGCATAAACATACCGTTTGTTTGAAAAAAAAACATATTTTGTCCTCCTTGCTGCAAGCTTACAAGAGCGATAATATCATTAAATGTGAAGGGGGGCCCTAAAATATTTTCTTGGGAAAAAGGGGGTCTTAGACAAAAAAAGGTTGGGAACCACTGGTCTAGATAATCCCCTTATTCCTCGGCTGGGATCGTGTCGAGACTTTGAAGCTGCACTGAAACTCACATTTGGACCCCATTGAAGTCACTATATGGAGAAACATCCTCAAAAAACGTAATTCTTTTCGACTGAAGAAAGAAAGACATGAACATATTGGATGACGTTGGGGTGAGTAAATTATCAGGAAATTTTTATTCCGGAGTGAACTAATCCTTTAAATAAAAAAGTAGCAATATTCCTGCAACTGGCAGTTTATAGTGCTGTTGTAATTGGAGGAGAAGATTTGAAGTGCATAACATTTTGGATGCAAAATATTTTAGCTTAAGTTTTGGGTAACACTTTACTTGAAAGGGTGTGCATAAGACTAACATGACACCTTCATAATCATGACATGACATGTTATGAATATGAAGGAAGTTGTATGCATGTTTATGACAACTGTCATTAAGTGTCATCCGCGCAGTTATGACATTTTTAATGCAAATATGACATTGTTTGAGATGTCCTTGTTATGACACCTTGACATAAACAAATACATCATAACCTGTCAGTGTCTTTGCCATGACAACTTGACATTACTAAGACAACACAACCTGTCATAAACATGACATAGCAGATTAATTATCAAACTTAAGAAACCACTTAGCTTTATTGGTTAACATTACATTAAACTGTCATGTGGTTAGTTTTGACATTGGCTGTCATGAAGCCATTATAACTGTTTAATGACAAATTCAATTTGTACCACTGTAGTTGAGGTCTCGAAAAATATTCATGACACAGTTATAATGGCCTCATGAGAGCCAATGTCAAAACCAGCCACATGACAGTTTAACTTAATTTAATGTCAAGTTGTCATGGCAAAGACACTGACAGGTTATGATGTTATGGTTTATGTCAAGATGTCATAACAAAGACATCCTAAACAATGTCATATTGTCATTATTGAGCGAAAGACACTTAATGACAGTTGTCATAAACATGCATAAACCCACTTCATATTCATGACATATGTCATGTCATGGTTATGAAGGTGTCAGTCTTATGCACACCCCTTCAAGTAAAGTGTTACCAAGTTTTGAATTATTGCGCTTCTAACTCTAATCGCTCCGCCTATCTGACGCGAATGCGCACGCTGTCAGGATAATCTCTTATTGTGAAAAAGGAAATACTTGTTAATTTCTAACATTTACAGGCAAGTATACAACCGTAAGATGTACAGTAAGTTGTGCATTGAGAAAAAACGTGTCTCAAAATGCATTAAACGTATCTTGTTAGTTTTTTAAAAATATACAGGAATGGAATCAGGAATGCAACGATCAGATATCATTGTAGTCAAACTTCACTGAAGACTCGTGGGCATTACATGCATACTATGAATACTGCATACTGAATTTCTTTCAGGTTTACATTAGCATGTATGGTCAAATACTAGTTCACTCCTCTATATTCTCCACATATAAAAGCAAATATATGCAGCCAGGCACAGACAAAACGACCAGAACGAAACCAAAGGAATGTCAGATGGTTATTGTAATGAGCTGTGCATGCTGGGTGGAGATAGGACATTTCCTTTCACGTTTCCTGAGTATATGCACACTCAGGGCAAAGGCTGTTTGGGGGAACAAGGACAGAGATATCCAGACAGAGAATACATGGTGTGCACAGGAAGTGACATAAGCGTCAAACCTTCAGTCGAGAGCCCAGTGTCAGCTAAATATTTGACAACTTCGCATGTGGCAGCTCAAATTTGAAGATATAACTAAAATGGGCGACTTTATACAATCATAATGGTCTTAAATGATCCTGTATTAAGTGATACAAGGTATTCCTCCTGGTTCGGGGAAGTTTAGATCATTTTTGATGTTATTCTTTTCTTTCCGTTTATTTACTTTGTGATATGGACCTTAGGGTCTGGAATAAAGAATTAATAATATTATTATTATAATACCTGACTTTTTTCTTTCATTAAACCTGTGCAGCTGTTATCGAAAGTTTCCCAATTTAAACCGGAGACACGAGACATTTCTATAGTGTGACAAAAGTCAAAATGCTGATCTGAACTGATAACACTTGAGAGATTCACATTCACACGTCAGTCACACACTCTAGCTGTAATGAGAGAGAGCTAATGCTCTTTTAAGGTAACAGCGTTTCTGCGCAGATCCCTGTAATTTGTAGGAAAGCAGTCTTGCCGACATCCTGATACTTTTCACATCTGGTCAGGAAGTATCGTTCTGTTTCCACCAATCTCAGATCTCAGAAGGAGCAGAGCAACGTCTGCTGCTTTTAAGCTGCTTAGTCTACGTCTTGTGTTATTTTCATCGCTTACAGAGTCAGATATACTCCTTTAAAGGCCTTTTCAAAGAATGTTTTCTTATTTGAAAGATTTATGATCGTCATGAATGTCAAATGGTACAAAATTTGAAATACGAAGTGAAAGAAGTGATAGCTTCCAACTTCAACTATATATATAGCACACAAACAAACGTTAATAGCATTCAGAAACTCCCTTAAATGACCCTCTTCACTAAATTAAGAGTAAGTGAATATAAATGACACATCTTAGACGAGTAACTGTGAGGTCTTGAGGCTCTGGTCCAGTCAAGTGCTTAATTTGATTACCATCTTGTCTGCTTTGTTTACCACAAGTGATGTGGCAGGCAATGAAGTTCAGAGATCCAAAACCCCAGACGCATTCTTCAGCTTCGGCACAAAGAGCGGCTCTCCACACTCGCAGACAAATGCTAGGCTATAAAATAGTGCATGTCAAACCCAACAAAGTCCCTCAATCATCTCTTTGGATAAACAGATTTGTTTCAGCTGGTATGGAAAACAGGTATTACATATGCACTGCATCTTTTGTTGAAAGGATAGCTCACCTAAAAATTCAATGAACTCCAAAAATTACTAGTTCATCCGACTCTATATTTGTACAAGTATTAGATTATTAAATTAACTATATGTATATTAAGTCTTTCATCACCGTTTTCTTTATGGAAATTGTATATACTCAAACCCAAATAGGATTTGTATGGAAGTCAAAATTATGAAATATTAAGTCGACATTTTTTATCCCATAAGTGTGATTTACAGTAGCATCTAATTTGTTTTTATCTCAATTTTGACGTCAATCATGATTGTCATAATTTTGACTTACTGACTTTACACTTTTGTTTTATCTCATTATTATGGCAAAATATTGACTTTTTCATCTTTGTCGTAATAATGACTCAATTTCAACTTCTCAATTATGACTTAGTGTGTCTTCATTTTGACCTTTTTTCTCATAATTATGACTTTATCTGATAATTTCGACTGTCATCATTGACATTTTATCTAATTTTCAACTTTTCATAATTATGACTAAGTTTATCACAATTTTGACTTAAGACAATCATAATTATGAAGTACTAAGTCATGAGAAATAAGTCTGACTTTTGTCTCAATTTCGACATTTGCTATGAATATCTTAATTATGATCATTTTTTCCATAATTATGATTTTATATAACTTTTTATCCTCATAAACATCTACTTTACTTAGGAATAAATAATTGCCAGAAAGAAATATGTGACTCATTCCTTTACCATTTAATATTAAGAAGATTATACCAATTTAACCTACTTTTAGTTAAAAGCCTGAAATACCATAGTATACCATCTGACACCATCACTATACCACCACACAGTACTATTGTCTAAGGGAAATGCCAGACAAGAAATTCTTTTTGGATAAAGCAGCAAAAACTAAGACAGTCTTCCTTTATCTGATTATTTCTAAATGTCTTCAACTCAAAATATGTTTAAGTCTCTGACCCAAAACTTCAAAACACTTGCAAGACAAAAGCCTGTCTCCTCCCTCAGTCTCTTCCCTGTCCTGTCCAAACCCCAAACTTCCTTTGTCTCCATCTGAACAACAAACAGTGGCTTCCCAAAATGTCTAATTCCTGCACTCATTAAGGCCGTCTCTGCTTGGCCCTGCGCTCACCCTGGCCAAAATTACTGGGTTGAGCAGCTGAGTAAGGACCACTAACACCACAAATGTCAGGGTCACAGGAAAGGAGTTTAACTTCAACAGACTGTGTGTCTAAATATAGGGTTGACCTGGTAGGGGGGGATGAAAGTATGTTTGGCAGACAAAAATGAGCTTTATATCTCTACGGGCGCTGAACAGCCATAGTCCACCTTGGTGTGGAACGTTTCTATACTTTTTTGAGACGATTAAGTGATTGTTTTGTGTCACAGTGTGATTTAACTTGCCTTCTCTGTGGTTCTCAATTCTCTCTGATTGGCTGATGAGCTCTTCTGCCTTGATGTTATCCTGTCCGCCCTGCAAAATATAAACAAACAAATTCATTTTCTTCTGAAGCCCTATTCAATGACAAAATCATACTGACTAGGAGAGCAAGATAAAAGTGGCCAAAACACAAAGGTTTTGGGATTGATTTGGGCTCTACCAAGCAAGACAGAACAATTAACTGGTTAGTAAAGAGTAGAGCTCTACAATTCTGGATATAGATATATATTGGTTTGTTTGTTTGTTTAAAATAGGTCACGATTCTAAATAGACAGCTATACAAAACAGTATATTTAAAATAATTAGTGCTGGGCAACGATTAAAAAATTTAATCGCGATTAATCGCATTGTTACGCGCAAAATTGAATAATGAATTCTAAAGTAGTGTATTGCGCACTTTTGATTTAAATGTACTGCTACAAAAGTGCAATAACATGTGGTATCCAAAAACTTTAAACAAATAAGGTGCTTTTATACCAGCAATATTCCCTTTACACAGTATCAATAAAATATTTCTTGTAAATCTCAACTTAAACATTAATGTAATCAAATCAAATATTTAAACAAAGCTATTTGCCACTGCCAGGGCATTACCTTTTATCTAGCTTGTTAAAAGAGTCCAGTTTTCTTGTTTTTTTTTTTTTCTGAACAGGTATCTTGTGTCAGGGAGCAGCAGCACAAACTACAGATATAAGTCGACCAACGTTACTTCTCTGATAGCAGCTTAGGTTTGGTCATGGCATGCCATGGTTTCCCACGTAAGATTACATTAAACAGAGGTAAAGCCCAATTTATACTTCTGCGTCGAACTCACGCCGTAGCTGTGTAGCGCGCGTACCCTGACGTGCATCTCTCCAAAAATGTAACGTCAATTCTACGCGTAGCCTACCGCAAGCGGTGTGATTGCTAGAACCGCTCCCCGGGTTTCACACTCTCCCTCTGCATGTGTAATTGCGCGTTTACGCGGACAACGACGCAGATATATAAATGAAAACCAACGCGTAGTCTATAGCATAGACTAGAGGCTCCGGCGTAGGTCCGACGCAGAAGTATAAATCAGCCTAGAGTGAGGTGAAGTGGTCGAGCACAGGTGCAGCGACAAGCGGGTGCGTTCCTGTGAAACTGTTGCGGTCATGCTCGCCTCACGCACGCGCCCGCGCGTTGCCGAAGTGGAATTGTCTAACTTTTTGTTCACGACGGTGACGACGCGCAGCACAAATCCTTGGAAGAGAGACTGATCCTCGGCTCGCTGTTTGTGAGTTTCCAGAATCTAAATAGTTATCAGGACATCAACAGGAGGGAATTCACATGGCAGAGCCCGCTAAACTAAACGCAGGCCTATCAGGTAAAGTTATGTATAATTTTAATTTAAGTTAAAAAGGCTACAGCTGCGTAGCGCACAGAAGCCGTTGCCATGGTTACTATCCATAGAGCGCCTGTCATTCACTCGCGGAGCGCTGTCTCCCTTTCTGTTCACCTGAGAGAACCTGCCAAAGCCTCTCCACTGCTTGTTTGGGTGGGTTATTTGCTGGCTGACCAACATCCCACCCCTCCTGTGATCATGGTTTGACTGTAGGACTATGTGTATTCAGAGCCAGTGAGCAACGGACTTTCAAAAAAAAAAAAAAAAAAAAAACGCGCGATAAAAAAATTGTCGGCATTAATTAATAAATGCGTTAACGCGATAGTAACGCGTTAACTTGCCCAGCACTAAAAATAATATATGTAATTCATTTTAATTCATTGTTTTTTCTTAAACTCTTGAATGAATGATTCACACTCCGAAGAAAAAAAGGGTACAAAAGCTGTCACTGGGATGGTATCCCCTTTAAAAAAGTTCTCATATCCTCCTGAGACCCAGAAAAAAAAAGGTTTTTGAATTTAGTTTTTTTCCATGTCATCACACTGTTTAGAGCACAATAAACAAATGGTAAAAAAAACATATATATAAAATAATATTTTATTCATACGTTATGCTATGTCCTCTGTAGTGGACGCCAGTATAAGTTTTTAAAAAAATAAAATGACATGAAATTATATGTATAGGCAAAAACAATGGGATTTTTTTTTCAATCACCAATACATTTTGGGGTTTCAGGATTTTTTCAACCAAAATTTGTATAAAGATTATTCTCAACTATGTTATGAAAGAAATAATGGAATGAATTGATACACCATTTTACTTTTTGCAATATGTGGGTAAAATGGCCATAAGTTAATATTCCCATTCAATGCAATGTATCTATACACTGTATCTAATTTGCACATTAATGTGTTCTGGGAGCAACATTTAATGAAAGAATAAAGGGTAATAATTGGAGTAATAATTGGCAACATTTTAATAATAATATCGAACATTTCATAGGAATATTGATGTATAATTTATTTCCATATTCACTTGTTGTGTCTCCCAGAATGCCTGATAAACATGATTTTAGTCCGGATGTCCTCTACAGTGGACACGTTTGAAATCAATGCCCTGTTCTGTAACAGAAAGTTTTTTTTGTTTTTTTTTAAACCCCTTAACATTTTCCTGAGATGTTGTTTTATGAAATACAATTTGAAAAGTAGTCCAATTTATATTATAATTACACTATATTATCATATTTCCATAAGAATGCTACATTTGATCACTAAATTAATGTCAGACATTTTTAAAGACCAAGGAGAAGTTGTTTTCATGGTGAAACCTCCAAACATTTGGTATCTCTGAAAAGTCCTTAATGTGCTCTTTACAGGACACCCAGGTTGTGTCATGTGACATGTATGATGTCAGAGAAATTCACTAAAATATAATGTCTACTACAGTGGACAAAAGTCTATTCTTGGGTCCCAGGAGGATATGTACCATTTACGTACTAATATGTACACTTTTGGTACCAATATGTACCTTTAAGGGACTAATACGCACTCTTTGAGTACAAAGGCGTAGCTTTTGAAAGGATCCTGCACTAGTAACAGCTTTTGTACCTTTTTTCCTGAAAGTGTGCAATGACTCACTCATAAAGACTTCACTTGATTCATTACTGGATGACTCAGCGTTTTTGAACGAATCTCTTGAAGGAATGATTCAATGACTCGCTCTCAGGCGTCTCAATCTCCACTTTGCTTAAGTAAAATAATATTGCGGTTACAAGCTGTGTACAGTTTAAACTACCTTATTAAATTACTCCACTAACAGGAGCTGTTGTCATGTTCTCACACTGCAACTCTCTTCTGAACTCTTCCCTCAGTTCATTAAAGCACCAGAAAGGGTTGCCAGATATCATTAAAAAAGCAAAACATGCCTCAATATATAAACAGACTTGGCAAAACTGTACCTGGGGAACAGAAATAAACAATATAAATAGTATTACCAATATCCTAAAAAATTTAAATGGCATGATGTGTCATTTATTATGAATACAATAGTTCAATATAAAATATTTAGTTAGCCTATTATAAATTGATTTAAGTAATACAATAACATGAGTTTAATTACTAATATCAATCAATTGGGGGCACAGGGGGGCTTCAGGGACAATGAATTAAATTAAATTCAAATCAAAACTAAAATCAAATCTATGCATATACATCAAAACGAAATTTGATTCAAAATTGAGAATTGATTTTTTAACCGAATCGTGAGATTTCAAAAGCAGATCATTTCAATTTTAAGCAGCTGATGCTCGTTCAAGTGCAGATTTTTAGAATATATATAAGAATATAAATAAATACAAATAATTCTCTCAAACATGTGAACCAAACTGAACCTTTAAGTCTTTGAGTTTGTATGCGAGTTGTAAAGAAGGCTGAAAGGACCAAGATGTTTATTGTTAGCTTAATGCTGTGGACTTTAAGTCTTTCTGGCTTAACGGTGATTGTCTACCTGCTGTAACAGGATTAACAGTTATATGGTACAATAAAGAGCAAACCGCAGTTAATCAGCAGCCCAATACAAACACAAATAATCAGGCATTACATGAGGTCACGTGTTTGAGTGTGTTTTTGTTTTAGACCAGCTGAAGTCTTGAGAGAACGACTTAAACCTAACATATGTAAATTACCATTTTGTCCCACAGTAAAGCTGCGGGATTTTACTTGCAAACAACAGAAAAGCATCATTTTTCTGTCTGTAAAAAACAGATAGAGACACTGCTGAGCCAGCAGTCACATCCATATTTCCACACTATAATTACAAGATGCTTGCCATGAATACACATGAGAAATGGCTTTTTCTGAAGTTCAGATACAGGTTGCCCTTAAAGAGACATTTCACCCCAAAATAAAGAGGATTCTGTGAACTGAAGTTAGCCTGTTCCTTACACAAAGCTGTCGCATGGCTTTGAAACACTTTGATTATAGTGCCCGAGTTGCATGAACAACTTTTATTGGACTTTTTTGTCCTTTAGGAGCTTGAAAGCCCCAGTCCCCATTTACTTTCATCATGGAAGCTTTTTCACACAAAAAAAATAATAAAGTAAATGGGGACTGGGGCTTTCAAGCTCCTAAAGGACAAAAAAGTCCAATAAAAGTTGTTCATGCAAATCTCCCTCCACAGACGAAAGTCAGTCATGTTGTATGTTGTAAGTCATACAAGGGTGAGAAAACTTATTTTTGAGTGAACACTGATTTCAAGCCTCTATTCATGTATGTGTGGTCCATCCTTTGTGACAGGTTTAATCTAGTAATCATGCAGCAGAAGTTTCAGATAAACTGACACTCACAAGATCTCTGCTTCTCTCTTCTCGCATGAAAAAAAATTCTCCCCAAATGCCACATAAAGCTTTACATCTTCTAAATTGCCCCATTTTGAGGTAGCTGAGTGCACAAACCTCATAAGATCTAGTGTGTGTGAAGCATTTTCCATGAGCGTCTGGATAAGTCTGGTGAACCACACACACCCTTAACTCATGATGAGTGAAATACAGTAGCAGGGCCCGTCATTTTGGCTCCAACACACACACACACACACACACACACACACACACACACACACACACACACACACACACACACACACACACACACACACACACACACACACACACACA